CAATAATATAATAGATAATTAATCATGTATACTTCATAAATAAATAAATATTTATTTATTTATTAAATAAACTGATTAGGTATTTAAATCTTATTGTTAAATTTAAAAAAGTTTCCAAATTAATTTCTACATCCATTTGGGGATCTTTTCAAATTCAACATGTGTCATTAGTTACAATCCAATTAAAAATTGTTTCTATATTGGTTCCTACATTAATATACAAAATGCAATAATGGCTTAGTTTGGGGTATTTTAGGAATCGAAAAGTACAATAAATTCGATTTTGCGCTTGATTAGGTAACTTGCCGAGTTGGATCCTAGTCATCAGGTTTTATTTAGAAAAAAACATGATTTTTATTCAAACAAAAATAAAGATATGGGTTGTAATCGAGGAAAAATAACTTTGAAGAGGTTAAGCTAAATTTTAATAATTTGATCAGATAGTGTTCTAGTATGTACATATAAATGTATTTAAGATTACCTTTTCTCTTTACAGGTTGACACATTTTTGTCTCAAGGTAAGAAGGATGAAGCATTTAGACACGGCTACGGTCATAGAAGGCAATTGCATTGGAATGGCTTGATAAGTTAACGACGAAGGTCTTACCAAGGAGACCCTGAGACCCTATTTGGTTCATGGAAAAGGAGGCTTGGGGATTTACTTTCTCATGTTTTGTAAGTCCATACATGGGAAATGGTTGTCTGACATATGGGAAAGTAGGAGGGAAAGTGAAGCCATACTCCCAACTTGGGTTTTGTTTTCCCTTCTAATGGGAAAGTTTGGGAAAATGAGCCAATATTAAATGCACATTTTTCATGATCATTTTGTCCCCATTAACAATTTAGAATTACAATATATCATTAAATGTACTCTTTTTTTATTTGATTTAATATGGGTATAATTGAAAAATTATACAAACTTTGTTTTCCATTCCTACTCAAAACAAACATGGGAAAGGAAATAAAGTGAAATCTCCCGGTTACTTTCCCGGCATTACCAAACGTGAGAAAGGAATCTTCCTTTTCTCATCCCTTAAGAAATGATATGGGAAGTGATTTCCCCTCAAATCTGTTCTGTGAACCAAACAGGGCCTAACACATATAAAAGAATACTCAAACGGTCAAACGAAATCCCAGATGGATTTTTTCTTTAAGCTCATGCATGCATGAGAGAGAGAGAGAGAGAGAGAGAGAGAGAGAGAGAGAGTTTCATGCATGCATGAATCTTGGTCATGAATCATGATCAAAATTTGAGAATGCTTTTTTTTCTTTTGGTCAAAGCATCCGATAATGCTTTCTGAATGAATTTAGAATACAATCGCATGCGATTAATATATGGGAATACTCATTCCTTTGACATGACTCTAACATCAAAATTTGATTTCCCTTCTCAATCCAGACGTTAAAAACCGCTCGTTGCCTAGCCACTAAAAGGTGATATTTGCGTTTTCTTGAAGCTAATTTGGCACCATAAAAGAAAAATAAAAACCCTATCACACATCTAGTATATTTAGCATATTAATAAGGATAGGATGAGGGTGATTATTATTACTTCATGGGGACACAAATTTAGCATAGAAGTGAGTCTCAAAGAACCCGTTGTTGAAATCAAAAGAAAGATAGAACAAATCTTGGGTGCCCCAGTGGCTTCACAAATCCTTGTAGTCTCTGGCTGGGAGTTATTAGATGGACTAGACATGGAAGATTATCCAATTATCACTGAAGGTACAAATATTCACCTTACCATCAAATGGATGGGGCCTCCTTTAAATTCATACCATTCTAGTAAAATTCAAATTACCATAAAGTTTTCAGCAAGGCAACTTCACATAGAGGTGGATAGATCCGAAACCGTGCGTAGCCTAAAAGAAAAATTACACATCATGGATGGTACCCCCATCAAAAGAATGTCACTCTTCTTTTCTGGGATTGAGCTACACGAAGATTTTCGCAATTTAACCGAGTACGGCATACGTGAATTTTCCGAAATCATTGTGTTCTTCAAGGGCATAAGTCGTGTAAGGGATGAGCTTCCCGTGAGAAGGTTGAGTGTAGTGGTACAAACTTCTTCGAGTTTACTTAATGCTGCCATGATTCCACTGGAAATGAAGGACTCAAGCACAGTTAATGACCTGAGGCAATTACTTTTGAGCAGTAAAACTCTGCCAATTGATGAGTATTTGTTCATACACAAGCAGAGGATCATGAGGGACAATTGCAGCCTCAGATGGCATGGTGTTGATGATGGAGATTCGATATATGTATTTAAAGGTGCTGTTTGTCGCAGTGGATATTGACATGCAAGAATTATTAACTACAAAAGTCTTGGTTTAACCATCTATAGAACTTTTATGGTAATTGTATTGTATTAACTATAGACAAAATTAGTAAGGCAAAATTTTAGCATGACACTTGACCACCTCAATTATTTATCTATTTATTTACTTTTTTGCGACATTTTTCTTGTACCAACGGCCCAATAAGAGCCAACTCCTGTCCAAACCATGCACCATTATTGTCCCCACCTTAATCACACCTAGGTCTAATACCTTGGGTTGGGTTAGGTCCAATGGACCTTTAGGTGTAGATTTTTAACTTAAAATGCATCGGTGCAATTAGAAGTGGACCATTTATATTTGAACTTGTAGTTTATTGTTGTATTCTCTAATGAGATCCAAGCTAAGGTAACCCGCCCGTTACAACACTCGCATTTTCCAAGGATGACATTGACATATTCCCGCAACTCTACCTCTTCCAACAAGGATTTCTTGAGCCTTACTAGGAGCCCTTAGTCCACCTAGTTTGCCGCCACTAGGACTTCCTAGAGCCTTTGACTTTGCTTCACTAGCCCACTCAACCTTTCTCCGTTGGTCTACGAATTTGCTTGAGTCGCCTTATCAAACATGTTAATAGCTCCACCTTGAACCAAGTGTGGTGTACCCGAACCAGGCTATGATTTGTTGTACCAACGGGCCCAATAGGAGCCCAACTCCTATCCAAACCATGCACCGATATTATCCTCCTTAACCACCTAGGTCTAATATCTTGGGTTGAGTTATGCCCAATAGACCTATAAGTGTGGGATTTTAACTTAAAAAAATTTATGCAGCATATGGCGCAAAAAAGAAAGTACATGTGCTATGTGACTTGCACGCGACTCTTTTAAGGGAAATCCTAAAAGTCTTGACAACATATGATATTTTTCTACCAAAGTTTAGTTTAGGTCGTAAAATGTCGCAAATAAATAAAAATACAAACAAAGTTTAGGGGGTCAAAGTGTCCAACGACTTCAAGTCCACATAGTATTGCTGAAACTTTCCCAATTATTAAGTACAAAAAAAGTCTTGTTCTTAAGTACTCAAAGTTAATATTGCCCTAATCAATTTATTTGAGACTACTCAACACTCTGATTCTATGTTAAAACTTAATGAAGATACGTGGGTTATGTCATTTGACACTATATGACTAGGGCAATTATCCCGTCTCCTTGCACCTAAGTTCAAATCTTCCTCTCTGTAAATTAGATTAATTTAACATACAAAGTAGTTTAGACTATTTTCTCAACAACAATAGAAAAGTAGTTTAGACTATCGCTTATATATAAAAAGATATTTTAAAATGAATTAATGCTGTGTGTAAATTTCTAAAAGAGAAAAAAAATAAAAAAAATGCATAAAAGCATATTACAAAAACAATTTAATTTGTACTACAAAAAAGCCTCTTATGTAATGTTTGTAAAGCACTAGGTAACAAATGATTATCCATACCATCAGAAGGTCATGAATAAAAGAGAAAAGATAAGAAATATATGAATCCCAGATTCACTATCTGCTATTTTAATCTCCATCTAATTTTTCCGTGATTTCTGCCTTGGAATGTTTGGTCTTCGGCATGGGAGCTCAGCTATGCCCACCCCAAGAGAGAATCAGGCCAGGTAAGTACAAAACGGTGAGTGGAGCCGTCATCAAGGGGATCAAAGAAGATATAGATGTGGGACTCATCTTGAACTCCATAATCAACGAGCGAAACCCCATCATCGCCATCGTCCTTCATCATAAGTCTATGATCATCAGCGCCGAGAATCAAGATCATACGGTCGTAAGGGAGTTTCTGTTGGGTTTCAATCTCTCGCTTTAGATCAGCAACCGTGGCATTGTTGCCCACTTGAACATAAAAGAGACTTCCTGTCAAATTCTCTACCACCACCTTCATTGTACAAGACAAATGCAACCTTTTTCCATTTCTACTTATCAAACACATTAAATAGAGAGAGAGAGAGAGAGAGAGAGGCAATTGCGTAGGAATTGAAAGGTGGTCACGTATGCTGCATTCTCGGTAGTTAGTTTGTTGCATGCTGGTGGAATGGGCTGATTTTTAGTGTTAAGCAAGTGTGATAATTTAATAACACCGTCACGTGATGTTATCAATTCACACATTAATGTTATACCTTAAAATATATACTTATTACTATCACATCTTATAATTTTGATGGTTGACAACACCGCGCAGTGTAACATTAAAAAAACAAATCGTACGTCCGGATTAGATTGGATCTCTGAGTGTAAAGAAATTAATAAGTTTTTGGCCATGCAAGCTCAAACAAGAATGTATGAGGGAACAAAGCATATATGGTAGTGCAGGCAGATTAAATGGCAATAAATGAAAAAATAATGTGGACTTATTTATGCAACGAAATGAAATTGAACATATTTCGCGTCCCCAACGTAATGAAAATATATGAAACAAGTGAACGAAATTGTATCATTTGTCAAAAGGAAGGAAAAGCTTTGTGTGGAGATGGATTTGAAACGGAGAGGATTTACAGAGAGGCATTTTCTTAGAAGTAAGAAAGACTGTAATATCCACTAAAGAAGAGAGAAGCTGGAGTGTTGCAAAAACCAGATACCTAATCAGTAATTTTATTAAAGCTTTTCCCACACCTACAAGTAGCAAAGAATCTTTCTAATGTTCTACTTATGAATGAATTTTTTCTACAGAAATTACATATCAATTCAGTCTTCATTTATTTCCTGGAAATCACAATCAGAAGATCGATCATGCATTTAAAACATGTTATCAATTTTAAATTAAGCTTCACATTCTGTATACATGAAATAAGCATAAAAACCGGGGTCGCTTCTAATTTGAATTTCCAGATTAGGAGAACGATGAATAATTAACAAGTAAATTCCAACAACTTGGTCCGTGAGTATGGAAAGATGAATCAGTTGAAGGATGGCTGCCATTCAAGTGTTTCCCCAGCAAACATTGGAATGATTTCTCCAAATGGAAACGAGAAGCAGTCTGGTACCTTAAATGAAGTCTTGCTCAGCTTTATCTTTGACGTGTTTCGAGGAAGTCCATAAAAGTCTGGCCCATTGAAGCTTACAAAGGCCTCTAGCTTGTCAAGAGCACCTGCCTGAAATAAGCAAAGTTTGTAATACCATGCTGTGTCAGTGTCACTGACATGTAAACTATTGGCAGCAGAAATGTAGCAAATATCACAGTTTTCATTTAAATATATAATAGCACAGACACAGAATAAGTCGATGGAACTACCAACCTATCTACTCAACTCAACTGGAATACCAAATGTATAGGGCTGGCTACAAAGATCCTTATTTTGTAGAATTTGTCATAACTATATTTATTTATTTTTCCAAGTGTAATAACTAGAATTCACCACATGATTATCTTGACCTTCCTTCACTCTCTGATTATCCTACTCGGATCAGCTCACTCTTTTGCACTGTGTATTTGTATCTCAACATTACACTTTTTTATTATAAGAAACATTCAATTAAAAAGAGAACCAACCAAATACAACAAAAACAGGTGAAACAGGTGGACGAGAAATCCACCAACACCAGAAAGAAACAAACAAACAAAGAGCTGACAGACAACCAGACAGCTACAAACCAAAACACCCAAGATCAGTACATTACAGCCTTCCAATCCAGGCAGATTAGGTGAAGCGAGTAATCCCTAAACTCAGGCACAATAGAGGCCCACAAGGACCCCCAAAACAGAACCCTATCCCAAAGCTCAGCTATCCCATCGCCTATAACATTATCAAAGATCCTATGATTCCAACCATCCAGATGACCCAGAAAACTGCCAGCAAAGCACAGCTACCCAGGATATCTTTCCGAGTCTTACGGCCAAAAAGATGATAGCTGGCCCCAAGAAGCTCCCAACAAGAACCAAAATTTCCCCACGGGACACCAAGCTCAAAAAAGAGGCGAACCCACAAAGCTACAGCAACCGGGCACAGTAAAAACAAATGGTTTATACTTTCAGAGTTACACCTGCACATAACACACCAACTAGGGGACAGAGAGAAAAGGATGTCCCTTCTTAATCATATCACAAGTATTAATCTTACCATGAGCAATTAACCAGGCTAATAGACGAACCTTGGGAGGAACTTTGGCTTTCCAAATCACAAGGAAAGGTGAGGGAAGAGAAATCAGGTGAATATTCAAAATCTTCTTATAAAAGGAGTTAATAGAAAACACACTTGAGGACTCAGGAGTCCACACCCTACCATCAAATATAAGAGGAGACAACGAAACCGACGCGATTCTAACCAAAAGAGTAGACAATTCATCCACATCGGTATCACTAAGATTCCTACGGAACCCAAAATCCCAACTCAAAGGGAGCGAGGAAGAGTCAGCACAAACATTAGCAATCGAGGCATTGTGGTACCGAGAAAGCCTATAAAGGCGAGGATACAAATTGCAAAAAGAAGACTCCCCACCCAAACATCTTCCCAGAATCTCACCTGATGTAGGATATGGGTGAATTGAGTATTTAGGTAGTTTAGCGGAAGCGAAAACAATGGAAAACAGAAAATAGAACAAAAGGGATAGGTCTGGAATCACTCCAGGGGTTTGGCTTCACACCAGGGGTTTGGCTTCACACCAAGTAGTCTCCAATCTCTGGAAAATAAGCTTTTCTTTATATCTCAACAACCGAATTTTAAAGAACTACATGGGGGGGTATTTATAGCAAACTAAAACCTAGAGACAATAGGATAAAAATCCCTTACTAAAACAGAAATCCTAATCCACCAAGGAACTAAGTAAAAATAAACTAGGAAACTTAAATCAAATCCAACTAAAAATCTGGAAACTAAAATCCTAGTGAAATCTGGAAAACTTGAGAATCTAGGAAACTAATAAATCAGGAAACTAACTAATGATGTCCGCATCATCACCCTCTCCCCATTACACACTTTGAAACGACAGAGAGAAAAGAAAGAAGAAATCCCCTTGGAGATGGCAATCCATGGGCTCCAACTCGAGCCGTTAGTCACACACTTCAGATCCAACCATTCTCGTTCAAACCATAGATGCTCGTCTGTCTTTCCAGGCTTAGTCGGAGCCATCAATTGACACACAGTGTGAAGAACAAGAAATACTCGAAAATTCTGAACCCAAGAAAACGAAAACCTGGCTCTGATACCAAATTTGATGTAGGATATGGGGGAATTGAGTATTTAGGTAGTTTAGCGGAAGCGAAAACAATGGAAAACAGAAAATAGAACAAAAGGGATAGGTCTGGAATCACTCCAGGGGTTTGGCTTCACACCAGGGGTTTGGCTTCACACCAAGTAGTCTCCAATCTCTGGAAAATAAGCTTTTCTTTATATCTCAACAACCGAATTTTAAAGAACTACATGGGGGGGTATTTATAGCAAACTAAAACCTAGAGACAATAGGATAAAAATCCCTTACTAAAACAGAAATCCTAATCCACCAAGGAACTAAGTAAAAATAAACTAGGAAACTTAAATCAAATCCAACTAAAAATCTGGAAACTAAAATCCTAGTGAAATCTGGAAAACTTGAGAATCTAGGAAACTAATAAATCAGGAAACTAACTAATGATGTCCGCATCATCACCCTCTCCCCATTACACACTTTGAAACGACAGAGAGAAAAGAAAGAAGAAATCCCCTTGGAGATGGCAATCCATGGGCTCCAACTCGAGCCGTTAGTCACACACTTCAGATCCAACCATTCTCGTTCAAACCATAGATACTTTGAATAACGGAATACCACAGGGAACCAGTCTCAGTCTGAAATCTCCACAACCACTTCCCAAGTAACACCTTGTTTCTCAACCTCAAATTTCCCACTCCAAGGCCACCGCACTCTCTAGGTTGAGTCACCACATCTCACTTCAACAAATGATCCTTCCTCCCTTCTTTAGAACCTTCCCAGAAGAAATTCCTCATATGCCTATCCAGTCTCTTCCCCACCAAAGCAAGCATTTTGAATAAAGACATATAGTAAATAGGCATGCTGCTCAACACAGAATTAACGAGAGTCAACCTACCCCCCTAGACAAAAACGCCTTGCTCCAACCGTCCATCTTCTTTTCGACTCTCTCTACCACACTGTCCCAAAAACAAGCAGCCTTAGGCTTACTCCCAAGGGGCAGGCCAAGGTAACTCAAGGGCCAGCCCCCCACCTCACATCCTAACACAGAGCCCATGCTCTCTACCAACCCTGCAGGAGAATTAATGCCAGCAATGGAACATTGAGCTCCATTCACGTTTAACCCAGAGCAAGCATTAAAGATGTCAATCACCCGAAACAAATTGCATAAATTCCCCTCCTTGTTAGATAAGAGGAAAATAGTGTCATCGGCCAATTGCAAATGAGTGATTTCCACGCTATCCCTCCCAACCTTAAGACCCTCCACAAGGCCACTCTCCCTAGCTCTCTCGACCAACCTACTCAAAACGTCAGCCACAAGAGTGAAGAGAAAGGGGGTCACCTTGTCATAAACCCCTCATCGCCCCGAAATTCTCCTCTCGGTCTATAATTAATAATGACAGAAAAATTGGCCGATGAAACACAACCTCTAATCCAACCCCTCCAAACACTCCTAAAACCCCTCCAAACACTCCTAAAACCTTTTTGCTCCAGCATACGATCCAAAAAAATCCAATCCACCATATCGTATGCTTTTTCAAAATCAATTTTGAAAACGAAACCGATATCCTTCTTCCGCACTTCTTCGACCACCTCATTCGCAACCAGCACAGCATCCAAAATCTGCCTCCGTTTCACAAAAGCCCCTTGCACTAATGAAATTGTATCACCGATCACATCTCTAAGCCTATGGGACAAAACATTGGCAATCAATTTGTACAGGCTTGAGACCAAGCTTGTAGGTCTAAAATCTCCTACACAAACTGCATTAAGCTTCTTCAGAATGAGGCAAATGTAAGTTTCGTTAGTAGTGGCGTTAATTAAGGTCTAAAATATTGCTTTTATAAACCCTAAACCCTCAACATTAGACATGACCAAACTATGTTTCTATGATGCCTCACTGGTTACATATGAAATTAACCATTAGCAAAAAGAAAGTGAAACATAAGTGCAAACAGGAAGCCCTATCAAAATAAGCAGATACACGAATTATTACCTCTTCAAAGACCTTGGCATATAATGATAGAGCAACAGGGGCACTGTATATACCAGCACACCCACAAGAAGATTCTTTTCTTCGTCTCTCATGAGGAGCACTATCAGTTCCAATAAAAAATCTTTTGCTTCCACTAGTTACAGCTGACACGATAGCCTGTCCTAGATGAGGAATAATAAATCAGCTTGAGAGAAAGAGAGAACTAAAAAAGACTTGATTACTTATTGTGTTGTTTATAAATCACAAGTGAAACATGCAACTCCGCAAGATCAAATAATATGAGAGTGCACCACGAGGACAAACCAGCAACAATTCTTGAAAGTCCAATTGAGCACTTAAAGGTTTGCAGCATCTGAAATATTTTAATGTAACTTACTGTGAATCTCTCTTTTGAGTACAGGCAGACAGTAATTGTGAGGCTGCAATCCTCCTTGGAAAAGAGAATTTCTATTCAGAAGAAGATGTTGTGGAGTAACTGTTGCTGCTACAAAACCTAGAAAATAAAACTACATGAGATTGGCAAGTTCAATTCAAAACTTGGATAATAAGGAAATCCAGTTGTTGAAATGCATCTCTTGTCCAAAAAGAGGAGGAAAATCATGAATGCAAGAACCCAGATGTGTTGCGTTTAACTGATTATGCATACCTTCTTTGCAAGACTCTACGAACTTAACAGCATCCTTAGTAGTGACATGCTCCATCACAACCTTCAGCTGTGGAAGTCTTTGGATTAAAGGTCGTAAAACAGTGTCAATGAAAACCTTTTCACGATCAAATACATCAACGTCAGCATCTGTAACCTCTCCATGAACCTAAAATAAAATAGCACATGTTGTTCGTTACAGGTTGTCATTCCAGATGATGTCGTCAACAAATGGACTAAAACACAACTTGTGAAGGAAAGAAGTACACTTCAACATGTAATCCGTTATACGTTGTAGTACAACTCACATCAAAGTTAAACAATGAGTCAGTTAACAGCTCGAAATTAGCTAAAACCATGCACAGATATAGGAAATGTCTGTAAAATCTATTACAATAAGGCCTATATGTAGGCAATTCCATAATGATAAGAAAAGCCTTAAATAAGATTTAACATAACGTAATAATTAAAACCCTAAATGATAACACAAAAGGCAAGTAATTATAGTATTCAAATTGTAGGAAATATAAACACAATTTTCTAAGCTTCTGCATGTGCCTATAATGGGAAACCTCCAGTATAATTATAAAGAAAACATAACAATTTACCTTAAATTCCAATTCTGAATAATAAAGAAAAAATTAATTTCTGAGCTTCCCCATATACCTAAAATTAAATGCTTTCTTCTACAAACATGCCAGCAAGATGTAAATTGTGAAGACATCAACCTGAAATTGGGGTCTGATTTTACTTGACTTAATTTATGAAATAGCATAAGGATCTTTAAAAACAATGCTGGCCAGCCTAACATTGTGACTATAAAGAACTAGCTGTTTTAATGAATTTTCTTTTCATGTCCTCAATTACAATTGAAAGAAAACATACAATCAAAACTCCCTAACCAACACTTCAGTATAAGCGGACAAAGAAAAGAGTTCAAGCTTTTGAGGTAGTAAGAATACCAGCAGAGGCATATTCTGTTGGGCCATCTCCTCAAGGACAGGTAGGCATTTTCCAAAAAGATCTGTAACCCCATCTTGAGAATTTGTTGTGGCACCAGCAGGGTACAACTTCACAGCATACACAACCCCACTTCTTTCTGTCGATATAATAAGAATCAACAAGGGGACACTATTCTCTAATCTAAGAAAGTAAAGAAAAAGAAAGAAAAAATTTAAAAACAAAAGTGCATATTCCATTTTGAGAAGAAAAGCTATATGGAAAAAAAAAAAATTAAAGATGCCTGCATGCATCTAACTAGACAAATGAATGATAAATCATATAAATTGGACCACTGATAAATCATATAAACTTATCACAAACAAACAGACAAGGAAACAGTTAAACGAAGGAAAAAAAAAAAAAAAAGAATAAAAGGTTGATATATACGGTGGCAATATTAGAAAGGAAAAACTTTGATGAGGCATACAAGGTTTAGCAGTGGAAACAAACCATCAATTTGTTATACTTAAAGAAAACAAATACTAGAAAATGGACAACTATATCACCACGGATAATATCAACTCTATCAACTCTCAGTTATGCTATCATCATTTTGAATCGTGAAAAACAAAAAGAATGATAAAAAGAAGATTTTTGAAGCTTTAAATGGGTTGACTAGAGTTGAAGCATGATTTAATTTAAAAACAGGCATCGAAAGCTAGCTGCATATCAAATAAAGTGGGGGGCTTACTTGCAAGCTTGATCTCGTTAGGATTTGTGGTATCTGTCAAATACAGAGTCATAAGAGGAGTGAAGTCACTACCGGCAGGCAGTGCTTTCAAGATGGATTCTCGGTAAGACACTGCTGCAGCAGTGGTGGTGATGGGAGGTTTCAGATTTGGCATCACTATTCCTCTTGCAAAGTGACTTGCACTGCAGGTAATATTGACATCAGAAAACAACAACCCATAATCTACAAGAACATATATGCGCATATATTTTCATTATCAATCAAAAGTAACCTGTGAGGAACTACAGCTTGAAGAAGTTCCCCGTCACGAAGGTGAAGATGCCAATCATCAGGGCGTGTTATAGTGAGCTCCATTTTTGTTCCTTTGTGCTGTAACTGGTTAGACCCTTCAAACTTTGCAGAGGGAAACTTCAATGCCTATGTCACAACAAAAATATTGAAAAAATCAAAACTAGAGAAACTTGGCAGATAAAAACTTCAATGCCATAGTATCTTAAGAAGAAGATAATAAACACACCTTGCAAGGCAAGACCAAAGTCTTTATCATTCCAAATGCCAGTCCTCTTGAATTAGAACAATTTTGACTGTTTCCATAGAGGTAAAAGACTACATTACAAAATATTCTGAACACGGCCCTACTCCTTGAAGAAATGCAATAAATGTTTTGGACTCAGATCTCAGACAATAATTCAAACAGTTGGTGTGCGAAAATCCAAACCCAAAGAAATGGCGTTAAACTCCGAGCTTAGTCTATATTACTTACAGAGTCCCAATTGGAAGGGCTGATGCTTGAAGCTGATAGTTGGAGAAAGCAGCAAAATCAGAACTTTACCTCATAGACGTTGCGAATGTGCAGAAAAAACATGTGAGTTTTCTAGTGAGGATCCAAAATTTGGAGACTTGTGTTTAATTATAAATACTGGCACGTGTTGAAACATGTATTTATTAGAGATATAATCCAACAAGACAATTTTAAAAAATTATGCCAGATTCGAATTTTAAATAAATTCAAATAGTTAATTAATTAAACTGGGGAATAAATTTAAAAATTATGCATGATATTTGAATTTTAAAATAATTTAAATATTTAATTAATTATTTGGTTTAATTAAATCACAAGCCCAATATTCTAAGGAGATATTTAGTCATATACCCATTCTTAGCACTAAAACTATAAATAAATCCTACACCATTTAATTTCTATAAACAAGCCCAAAAAAAACCAAAAAATGACAACTGGCCTTATTGGAATTTAATTTTGATTATTAAATTACTTTGATGCCCTATTGAGTGTTTTGGGTCTTTTTATGAGGTTTTGGGGTTGGGTTTGTTTGAAGAAATCAATGGCAGTTTTGTAATTTAAAAGAAGTTAAAAGCCTTTTTGTTATGTTGTAAATGGGCTTTGGGTGTGTTACCTTGTGTAGTTTCTGATAACTTTTCTTCATTACTTTCACTGTCTACAAAAGCATTGAAGTCCCACCCATTTCAAAAATTAGCTTAGGACTTGCTTGAGTTCCATCATCGTCTCTGTAATTATTTTCTACGTTCATGTCCTTGAGAAAATTGGCAACACATAATTGATAAGATTTAAATTTCTATATATTAAACTCAACAATAATCATCAAATAACAGTTAATTTAATTGAGACAGGGATTGATTACTATGGCTGGGATTAATTTAATCGAGACAGGGATTGATTACTATGGCTGGGTCCTTGAGAAAATTGGCAACACATAATTTGTAAGATTTAAATTTCTATATATAAAACAATAATCATCAAATAACAATTAATTTAATCGAGACAGGGATTGATTACTATGGCTGGGATTGATTCATATGGCTGGGATTGATTACTATAATAATTAATTTAATCGAGACATGGATTGATTACTATGACTGGGTTTGATTCCTATGAAATCAAAAGGTTGATTCCTATGGCTAGGATTGATTACTAAAACAATTAATTTATTCAAGATAGGGATTGATTCCTATGGCTGGAATTGTTCAAAAGGTTGATTACTATGAATATGAAATCAAACATATCACCTTTTTTTTTGTAATCGAGACAGGGATTGATTCTCTATGTTTGAAAAACCAAGAACTTGTACACAAAACAAAAAAATTCAACTTCTACATATCATGAAGATAAAACCTAACAAAGAAAATTGAACAAATAATACTTTGATTTAGTGTATATTATATAAGTTTCCAATACACAGGGCTTGAACAAAAGGTATAATTAATTGGTTTTCTTCTCTGAAATTTCCTAACAGAGATTAGGAGGGAGGAGAACTGGGTTTTGCAAGCATTTGAGAGTTGATGGTGGAGAAGATGCAAAGATTATGAGGGAGGAGAGTGGGTATGGTTGGGTTTTGCAAGGAAGGAATTGATGCTGCAAGTGGAGAAGAGGAGAAGACGCTCACGCAGAGAAGACGAAGACGCTCGCTAGCTCGCTCAGATATTTGGGTAGTTTTTAATTTTTTTTAATTTTTAAAATTGTCAAATAAAAAAGTTAACAGAGTTAACTCCCTGTTATGTTAGTTGACACGTGTTAGCAAATTAGAGAGGGGACATGGAGAGGACACCAATTTGGGGACAGCGGATCCGCTCCCATATAAAATATAGTCTTAGTCCAAACATACACCAAACGCAAGATAAGTGTTATCCAACTTAGATCAAGTCAAGCCAAGCCAAGTCAAGACAGTCCATAAATATGGTCCATGCGAAGACAGTCCTGTGTAACAAACAAAGGGATTGGGTCTACTGCATGATGCAATGGATATAACGATCATGTACCATAACCACTTGTAGTAAACCCGAGACAATATGTCACACATTTGTCTACCATCTTATATGGCGAGTTGAGGTGTACAACCACGTCAATTAAAATTCTTTTATTTCTTTCTATACGATTTTAATTAATAAAAAAAATTAAAAAATTAACCCAGAAAAATTAGACCTAATAAGCTTTCATGTTTGCTTCTCCTAGTGCTTCCCTCCTTTCGATCATATATCTACACTTCCCTTTCCCTATCTGCCGGCTCTCCAAAGGCACTCCATTGGCACTCCCACCTTCCTTCCACCGAAGGAATCCTTTAGCTTGATACATAAGATGATATACAAATGTGCTATAAAAATGTCCTAAGTCTAGCATTCTTCATTTGAGCTCGAGTTAGAAATCTTTCATTAGTTGCACATAAGTTGATTGATAGATTACGGCTTTCCCATTTTGTGCTATGCTTTGCCGGAATTGCAAAAGTCCACAAAAACACTAGAAGAAAAATAGGAAGTTGTGCCCAAAAGAACTGAATTGGTTTGATATCAACCATCTGAAAAACAAAATCAGCTTATAGGAAACTTAAAAAAGGTGAATTTCTTTAGTGGATATATTCTCTTTGCAAGATTTCCTACACCAACTAAAACTAACCACACAAAAAAAAAAAAAAAAAAAACAACAAACAAACATTCACAAGGCCCTGCACTGCATTTTCCTCAATTTTTCTGCTTTCATTGTTTATGGAAGAAATAGAACTTTACAACAGGAAATAAAAAGCTGAATTTTGGGTAACTATTTCATGAATATTTACACTACAAAACTAATGAAGATGAGATGAGGGATCTCACAATCAGTTGCAAGTTAATTGAAACAAAAAAAAGAATTGGAAATTTGAAGGTACAGTCAGTAGGTTTTTGCTCCAGAGATAGTAATATTACTTGAGTAGCCATGCCTTGAATCTGAAGCACTGGAAATATAGTCATTGTAATCAATGGCCTCAACAAGACTCTTCGAAAAACGGTCAAGGAACTGTGGAATAGGTGGTATACCAAGTTCTATAACTCCCTCCAGAAGTTGAACAACCTGCCCCATACTTGGCCTATGCTTCTCATCATCTTGAATGCACCAACAAGCAGCTTTGCATGCTCTCATTAGTTCTTCTTTGTCAGCATTTCCTTCTAACCTGCAGTCCAACAATGTGATAACATCTTCTTCTTTGGTTACCACATTCGCAACGCGAGTCGGGAAGTAATTTTGTAACCCATCACCTAAAAGATCTCTGTTTCTCCTTCCTGATATAAGCTCAAAAAGCAGCATTCCATAGCTAAAAGCATCAGCTTTTGGTGTGATAGCTTCTCCTGAAATCCATTCTGGTGCAATGTAGCCTCTGGTTCCTTGCATGGTTGTAATTATCCGGCTGAAGTCTCTGCTCATGAGCTTTGCTAGACCGAAATCTGCTATTTTCGGGGCATATTCTGCATCCAACAGAATGTTTTCAGGTTTGATGTCACAGTGTATGATGCATTCTCTACACTCGTCATGAAGGTAAGCAAGTCCTCTTGCAGTTCCAGCTGCAATGTTATATCTAGCTTTCCAATCTAAGACAATGGGACTCTTTTGAAACAAAACTGATTCTAGAGAACCATTTGGCATGTAATCATAAACCAAGAATCTTTTTGAAGTTTCTGCACAAAACCCGCGGAGGCGAACAAGATTAATATGTTGGACTTTCCCAATAGTCCTCACTTCTGTAAGGAATTGCTTATCTGCTTGCTTTGGACAGTTAAGTCTCTTCACTGCAATGGGTGTAGAATTTTGCAATGTCCCTTTGAAAACAGAACCAAAGCCTCCTTCCCCAAGTTTTAAAGAGAAGTTCTTTGTTGCACTTCTTAGAACTCGGTACCTGAACATCACCAATGAGCCTTCCACTGCCTCAAATCCTTCCCCAGAACATTCATTCTTGGCAATTACCGCAATAATGAGTAAAACGGCAAACAAACTTCCAAGTACTCCAATGACAATCCAAAGGGTCTTGCTCTCTTTCTTCACCCCTATTGCCTCAGATGCTGCAATTCGTAGATGCAACACTTTGCCTACTTTCGCATCAAGTGTAAGTTGTTGTACATTGAACAGATCCCCTGTCCAAACCAAACACCCATTATCATAAGCAAAAGCTGTACATGAGCAATTCCTTAAGCATGCTGATCTGCATTCATTGATGTTCTCGGCTGCTAAAGTCTTCGAATTCTCAGGAAAGTGCACATCCGGTACCACCACAAACGCGTCGTTTCCCCCATTGCCTGCACTGCATTGTAAAGGGACTTTCCTCACACACCCATCTGTGTGATCTGCCAATTCCCAATATTTTGGGGATTTGGGTTGAAATCCTTCCAAGCAATCACAAAGATGTACTTGTTGCTGGTTGCAAATACTGGACGCACCGCAGAATCCATAGACTTCGCAATGTTCCGAGGGTCGCAACCAAATCGAATTCCCTTGGGGGAAGTCTTTTCCCCACTTATAGGCCTTGAACTGGCCAGAGATGTCAAGCACGTATCTAATAAATACGTTAGGGTAGACAGCAGCATAAGAAACATAACTCCCCATCTCATTCGAAACATATGTAACATTTGTAACATAATGATTCAACTGTATTTCAGGAACATTTGTAAAAATCTTCCCTGTCCAAGGCCCAGTTGTCCAGTACATAATAGAACCATTATACAGCAACAAAAAACTTGTTCCATTTTGTTCAATCTCAAGAGAAAAAATCCCAGGTGCTGGATTTTCTGGGCTCCTCCAAGGAGTGAGAGTTAGTTTTTCATTGGTAACCTTACTGTATCCAAGCTTTCCACCTGGCAGCCAAGTATCAGTTGGGTGATCGAAACTCTGCCATATAATAACAGAGGAATTAAATGCATCTGTTATGACAAAGTTGCCATTGTCAAGAAGCATTGCTTTTGTAGAATTGGAAAATATTGGCAGAGAATGATCATGGGTTGACCAAACTGCAGATTTGGATTGGTTCAGTAGGGTTAGGTTTCCATTTTGGAAGAGATGCAATGCTGAAGAAGATGGATCAGAAACAGGTTGGTTTCTGTTTGCCACCCAAAC